AGTGAACTTCACCTGCAGATGTAGACACAGAATCTCAGTTCAGATTATGAATATTCAAACAAAGTAAATAAATAACCAAAAATTCATTAAGAATTACTCACCATTTTGACTAGTCTTTATTACTCTGAAAGAAAGATTCTGTTAGAGCTGAAACATCATAACACATAATTTAGCCTAGATAGTAAGATATCAGAAAGGTAGAAAAAAAGGACAAAAAAGAGTTATTGAGATTATTTCAGCAAATATAAAAAAAATAAAATTTTTTATCCCTGCTTCAATATGACACTCAATTTGATCAAAACAGATAAATTATTTGGTATTACATACAAGCTTGTTTAAAAAAAAAATTCTTAAAGGACGACATCATAAAAGCGCTGATCACATTTTGTATTAGTTCAAAAATTTCAATACATATATATATATATAACTTCAAAACATACGAGTGATCTGCAATAACAGGAACCAAAACAATAACATGCATCTAAGGCTGAAATATCTATGACATTAAAGAGTATATCTTCAACAACGATCCATTCATCATTTTCAAAACAATTTATAAAATCAAAAAATTACAAAAAGAGAGAAAAAAAGAGAGCAAAGATCAACATCGAACCCATAGCTTAATTGGTTGCAGGAACACAACAACACCTTACCATATAGCTTCGGCAACTTTATGAGCCCGATTCGCTCATTGTATTGGTTCCCCTCCTTATCGAACTGGTATAGATTGACTTTGCTGCAAACAAATCAAGCAAAAACCCTAGATCTCAACCAACAAAAATCGCCAAAACAAATTAAATTTAAAAAAGAATAAGAAATTAAGAGAGGAATAAAGAGAGAGAAATGCACATGTATCTTTTACTCGCAATATTTGGTGTCACTTAGCACAATTTAGAGAGAAAAGAAAAATGGCTGTGAAAAAGTGGAATTAGTAAATGATAACAGTGTGCCGTTTGATAAATAGATGGATTGGGCCGAAATTGTGTTAAGAATACACGAACTGGGCCTCATTTTGCCACATTTTTATTAAATGTGTAGTAAAATTAGAAACCTCTTAAAATTGTGCCACATTTTCTTTAAATGTTGCAAAGTAAATGTCGTAAAGTATCATTTTTCTCGTAGTGTCTGAACATTATTATTTTTTATATTTAGATTTTATTTATTTTTTAGCATTTGAATTTTTTTGTCATTTTTAGTATAATTATGTTTCCATATATTTCTAATTGTATTTATTAATTTTAGACAATATTTAATCCCAATTTGATTCTTTAGTATTTAGCAATGGTCTACTATGTGTATATATAGATGATTTTATCTCTATGAAATGAGAGACATTAAACCCTATCTATTTCTTAGAAACAATGTTTTAAAACCCTATCCCGCCTCCCGAGTTAACCCGAGTCAACCATGACCTCTCTCCTCTGAGGGTTGGGGTCACAAGTTGCACCCTAGCTATATGCACATCGACACATCCGACCCCCAAAATCTGGTCTGGTTTCAGTGACTCTTAGATCAGAGGGGTCAAAGAGAGTTACTGCATGTTTTTTTTAAAAAAAAAAAGTTTCATGAAACAACGTCGTTTTATTAAAAAAAAAAATGCTTGCAAAAAGAGGTTACAACAAAGGTATTATAATTTATATATACATGTTACCAAAAAAAAATATTATACATACATTAATTGTTTATTTTCTTTTAGACAAATATATGTCTATATTTGTTGATGTCGAATATTGGAAAAATAGGAATCAATTGAAGCACCAAAATTATGACCCAATTAATTTGAAAACAATGGATGATCATCCTACTAGTTGGGTTTTTGAGGAGTCACCATCATCGATAATCGATGAAGAGGCAAGATCTTTGAGGAATAATACCATTGAACCAATTATAGATAGTATTGGTATGTTTCTTTATGATTATAATTTTATTGTTTAATTTGATGATTTGATCATGTTATATTATTTATTAACTTACATATAATATGTCATTGTAGATAAATTAAATTTAGATGAGGATGATGTAGATGATGAATCTCGTATGGCCATTGTACCCTAAATTAAAACCAATGTTCCTTGAGGTTTGGATGGCAATGGTGGAGAAGGACAAGAAGAACCTGAATTTGATGATGTTACTTTTCATTAACTCCATTAGAATAGGAGTTTTGTAATTTGGTATATTGATACTTTAATTAGGTTGTGTAGCTATGTAGCACCGATACCGACACGGGACACGTGACACGACACGATATGACACTCCGACATGTTAATTCTAAAAATTGTTAGATTTCGACACGTTAGGACACGTTGTGATATTAAATAATATTTTTTATTTATGTAGTGTATATTATATTTAATATTCAATAATTTAACAAAAAAATGAAATTAAACTTATAATACCCATCAATTTTGCAAAGAAACATAAGATATCCAAAATATTTATATTAAACTCAATAAAATTATAATCATAATCCAACGAATCTATTAGTTGGAACTAAAAACGCAACGCAATGCAACCTTTGAATCATTTTTTGAGCTTCTACAATGCGTGTTGGAGTGTCGGAGAGTGTCGGGAAGTGTCGGACACGACACGTCAAGGTCTTTGAAGTGTCGGTGCTTCATAGTTATGTAATATTGACTTGATTGTAATTGGTGAATTATGTTAAGTATATTTTGAATCTTTGATAATTGGTGGTTTGTTTTTTAGTATTTTCATATAAGATATATATATATATATATATATATATATATATATATATATATATATATATATATTTAATTTTTTTAATATATAAAACCGGATCAGCGTAGTAACTCCGTGACCCCATGACCCTTGATCTCGACCAGGTCAATGGTCGGGCCAAATTTTTAAACACTGATTAGACGTGTTTTCTCCCTTAGTATTTTCATAGAATTCATCAGAAGTTAGCGATTATTGCCTACGAAAATATCGTTTTATGGAAAAATATGAAAAATCAATTTAGATAACTTTGCTTTTGAATTTGTTTGATAAGGGAGTAAAAAATAAATAAATAAACTGATTCACACCGCTTTAAAAGAATCATATTTTTTAAACCTATTCAAAAATCGAATTGTTTTTTTTTTTAAATCTGTTCAAAAATTGAATTATTTTTTTCTTTCTTTTTTTAAAACTGATTCGGTTAAAAAACAGAAGTCTATTATTTCGATTTGATTTGGTTTAGAAATTGAACCGAATGAAATCATACCCACAATTAGGAACATGAAAAAATCAAATGAACCCAACAAAATCATGAACCAAACCGAATTGCAATATATCATTATTTTTTTCAAACCAGATTAAAAATCTAATCATTTTCTCTAAATCAGTTCAATAACCATATTACTTTTTAAAACCGGTTTAGATTGGCTAAACCAAACCAAACTGTACACTCCCCTATTTTCTCGTATCGGGTCTTCTCGTTTTTTGATGTATGACAAAAGCATGTTCCTGCTTTATACTATTGAGCTAGTTTCGGGTGCGAGTTGGTCAAGTGTATCTCAATAAATTTTATATTCGTACATAAGTTACCCTTGAATTCTTTATCAAAACACAATCATAACTGATATTGTATATATATATATATATATATATATATATATATATATATATATATATATATATATATATATTATACTATATAGGCCTATACTTACAGCCTGACCATTTAATATACCCCAGCAGCATTGAAATTCCAGGTATGATCATCACTCAACAAATGCCTTTCGACGATCTATATGTAGGCTTCGAACAAGCCGTATTCGTATTTGACAAGAAAAGTGTACGTAGAGTGTAAAAGTCTTCTATTCATTTGTAGGACGAAGCATCCAAGGTGGAAGAATGGTGTTAGCTCGAGTTTGCGTTGGAGTTCCTTCATTATCTCTGGCTTGTGGTGAGCCTCTGCATCAAGTCACCCAGTTTACTTAATTAGTAATAAGTTGCAAATTCAAATATGAATTGAACTAATAAGGTGGATGTTTAAAATCAGTGATTCCTCTAGCCGTTTTCCCATCTCGAGTGACTGGCTTTGCCTTTGAGAATGAGTCTTTGTTCTTCTTAGTTCTCAAGGAATGAGTCTTCCTTGCTTTGACATATCTTATTGGCACTAATTACTAATTTGATTTATATGTTATTGTTCATGCAGGAATGGAAACAATGCCAATTAAATTAAGTGAATTAACTTTGTTGGAGAAATATAATATAAGGGAAAAATGTTTGTCATTTTAAACGACAGAAATTTATGTCATTTTAAGATAGATAGAGACACAAAAATTTTGAATTTTTAATTAAAGAAAACCATCAACTTTCTCTCTCCCATGATTTTCGTTTTTCTGTGTTTATCTCTCTCCTAAAATGACATAACTTATGTCATTTAAAATGACAAAACTTATGTCATTTAAAATGACAAACACCAAACTCATAATATAAATCATTAATATAATCTTCGCTTGATAGGTTAAGTTTTTAGGTAAAAGTGATTATCAAAGTCTCTATTACCAAGTGATCACAACATGTTATTCGACGGGGTTCATCCGCCCACGTTCAAAAGAGTTTGTATGTGCACAAATTAGTATATTAGATGAAGGGTTTATCATCTATCATTTAACATGATCACAAAAATTTTCCTACACACACAACATTTTGTGGGACCCGCAGCAAAAAAAAAAAAAAAAACTCCGGCACGCAAAACGAATCTCTATAACATAACACAATCACTTTTCCTACAACATAACTCTTATAAAGGCAAAAATGACTTCATGCATATCCAACTTCACGCTCAAAACAGGGTTGGGACTTGGGAGGCTTTCAAGTATACATAAGAGAAAATACACTAACCCTGTAGTCAAGGACTCCGATGGTTGAATTACAAGGACGGAGGTCACATCCATACTATTTTGCAGCCCCACTTGCTCCTGTTGGGCCAGCGCCTTCTCTTTTTCCTTTATCTGGTTTCCACTCAAATCTTTCTTGTCATGTACTGTCAGATTTGAGGGACATCAATTAAGTTGCCACTTTTTTTTTTTAAAAAAATGTGCATAAATGTCATGCAAATCATGCCTTCAAACTCATTAGAACTGTCAGCGAGTTGGGTTATGGCAAGTGGCATATTTTCTGAGGCCACCAAATTCTTTGTCAGTTATACTTATAGCGAGTATAATGGTCAAAACAGTGAGTCTTTTTGTGCATAGCCTTTTTTCTACGCAAGTATATCGCGTGTTATGAAATTATAAGTTACAAAAGTTGCTGTAAGTGGGAGCATGTTTAGATTAAACAGGCCACCACTGACAACTACTTTTGTAGTCTAAGATTTCATGACACGTGGTATAAAATTTTAAAAAATTTATTTTAAAATTTTGAAAGACTACAACTTTTGGCTTGGATATCTGAATGAGATGATTTTTTTTTATTTCACGCAACTTTTTGAGATCTATTCGAAGGGATTTGATCAAAAACATTTCTCGAAAATTGTTTTCTTGTGTCTCGTTTGGTATATTTTGTCTCAGTGAATGACGTTATTTAATTTCTATTCTAATTTTTACTTTTGAACAATAAAAACAATCCTCCCAGTGCGTAAATAGAAAAAAGTTACGTGAAATTAAAAACAAAATAACTCGATTTAAACAACCGAGCTAGAATTTATGACTTTCTAAAATTAAGTTGACTTGTTTTGCCATATAACAATCTATACTCACAGCCACTAACAGCGAGTTTGGTGGCCTCAAGCGACGTGTCACGTGGCATGACCAAACTCGCTAACAACTATAGAGAGTTTGGAGGTGTAGCAATTTGGCAAATTTTGTGACCCGTGTGACATTCTGACAATTTTTTTAAAAAAAAAACATGGCAACTTGGTCAGTGTCCTGATATTTGAAATCCAAACAACACAATCTGCATGAGTTGTTGAAAACCCAAAACTTTATTACCTTCTTGGCGAGCAAGTTGTTATGTTCCTGGAGTGCCTTATCCTGCATAATAGAACACAGGTAGTTATGTGACTCAACAAATAATCAAATCATGATTTATGACTTGAGGCATATCCTAAACTTCTTGGTCAATTGAAACTATGTGTACATAGTGTCAGTGAAAATTAAAAGTTTTGTAAGCGGAAATCGCTCATATTTTATATCATAAAATCTACCATTACATTAAATGTTCTTATCATATATCATAATTATTAAATTTTAAATTATTCTAAAATTATTTAATATTTCATTGATATATGTCAAAATTAATGTAAAATACACTTTTAAAATATATGAAAAAAAGAATCACTTGGTTATATACCCTTAGTACTATCAAACTTTTACGAGATTAGACACAACTAATCAAGGTAATAAATAGTTAAAATTTAATTATTTGATCCATAAAAATCAAATTCTTCTATATAAAGTTAATTATTGGATAGTTTAAGAATATTAAACTTTACATTAATATAAATTAATGAAATATAATCAAGCAGTTCTTATTTTCATATATTTCAAAAATATATATTAAATTAATTTAATATACATTGATGAAGTATTAAACAACCTTGAAATATACATTGATGAAGTATTAAACAACCTTGAAATAATGTAAAATTTTACAAATATGATATAATAGATACCTCAAAAAAATTTATTTAATAAAAAATTGCTCAAGAGTGTAAGAGTGATTATAATTTTCATCATATATATGGCAAATCATTTCTACATCTGTGATAGAAATTATTTTTGTGCCACAGACGTAAATATTTGAGAGAGAAAAATTATAAAAAAGAGAGAGACACCAACATGGAGCCCACTCTTATTTTGTGTATGTGGCAAAAAAATAAATATAATTTTTACCACAGATACAAAAATGATTTTCTGTTATATATATAGAGAGGTAGGTTATACTTACAACCTTTTTTTTACAACTTCTTACAACCATATCTTAACACCGTAGATTGGTGGTGATTTTCGCAAATTAAACTAATTAATTAATTATTAATTCACAATAATGATAACCGTTGATTGACGGAAATCAATGGTGTTAAGATATGGTTGTAAGAGGTTGTAAAAAAAAAGTTGTAAGTATAACCTTCCTCATATATATATATATATATGTGTGTGTGTAGGTTATCGTTTCTCAAGTTGTTTCAGATAACTTTATCTCTGTCTACTTAATCATAACAGTACAGAGATGAATCAATGGTGATAAAAGAAGAGAGAGAAAAAGAAAATCATAACCAATCAAAAGTGAATCAATTAATATAAGGAAATAAATAGACAAAACGACTTAATTTTTGGGTGGATAAAGATAAATATATCTCAAGATGCTTGAGAAATATTTTTCTCATATATATATATTGAGTTTAATGTATATCATGTTGTATAAGATAAAATTATTTCTTACATTTATATAAAAATGTATGAAGACATTTTTTTCTCTCTCTTTTCTTTTCATTCGAGCCTCACACACTTTTATATGTGTACAAAAAATAATTTTATCTTTTATAATATGAGAAATACCAAATTCATATTTTTTTTCGAAAATGTGGAAATTATGGGTGTACTACAACCTTCTAGCTACTCTTGGGAATTTTTTAAGGTACACCTCTGGCGCCATTTATTAAAAAATGGCGAAAAGACCAATAAAAAATGGAGAAAAGATGTGTAAGTTGTACATAGAAGACAAGGGAAAGAAGAAAAAAATTGAGCCTGTTTAATTGTGTTCTGATTTTTTTTGTTCTTAGAACTGTTTCGTAAAATAGTTATGGAAACGGTTGTTTTCTATATTTATTTAATTTTGAAAGTTAAAAATCAAAAAAGAAAACCAAAACAGAAAACAAAAACAACTCAGATATGTTCTCTAAATTTAATTATAAAAACAAAAAAAATAATTATAGTTTTCAAAACATTTTTTACAAAACAGGCTTTATTAAACAAGTTTTTTAGAAACAGAGCCATTAATATCTCTGTATCTGAAAGGTGAATCCACGACAAGTGCACCGAAAATACTCTCCTAATCTTGCACCACCCAGCTGGCTATGACTTACTTCTTTTAGAGTTTAAGAGAAAAAATAAATACTGTTCCCTATCAGTTACCAAGTTTTACTAGGTAATCAGCCTTCCATTAAGAAAATTCTCAAGCGTTAATGGACATACAAGGTTATGCTACCATATTCATTTTTATATTTTTTTGGATAAAATGTTACCATATTCAATAACAAGAAAGACTCACCTTTGTATTATAAAAAAGAAAAGAAAGACTCACCTTTTTCCGAAGCTCTGCAATAGTTTCGTACATGAGTTGGTTCTGCAGGTCAACACCCAGAATGACTAAATGACATTCAGTCCAAACCTCAAAACTATAAGGCCAAATTAAACTGTCAGGGTTGCACGGTTTTACCTTTCGTGATCTAATTTGTTTGAGAGCGGAACCAAGTTGTTGTTCCAATTTCTGAAGCTCTTTGAGACTTAAGCTATCCAGATCTTCTCCCTGAAAATTCCTGAAATAAAGCCACAAACTCTGTCATTGCATATTGTATATATTACACAACAACACAAAACAGCCCTTGCTCTTACAAATTTAATACCTTTGATTTCTCTCTAGGACTTCCACCCTAGCCTTGAGCTTTGCCTGTTCTAGAACCCAGTTTTCCTGACAATGCAGATAATGAAATCAGTATTCTAACTCTGCTAATCTACTCTAGCGGTGGCAAGTTACAATCGATACCTAGTTGATTTTGAATTGCTACGAAGAAGAAGGAAGAGTTGAAGTTCATGAATTGGAAATTTCTCTAAGCTTTAGAATGTATGCATTGCACATAATAAGTAATTAAACCACTCCCACTTAAAAGCGTATAGCTAGTGTGGGGTGGAGACAATTCTTGTACGCAGTCTTATATTTACATAATTGGCTTACATACTGGATTCAAACTCATGACCTTTCAGCCATAAAAATTATTACGGATACAAATTTTCGGAAAAAAACGTAATTATGGATACAATAATACAATAAATAATTCAAAAATAAATGAATGAGTTGGTTTAGCTATTAAAATTTGTTTAAATAGGCGTAGGGACAAATAATCAAATACCCTTCCACAGGCACAAGGTGGGTTTAGAGAAAGGAAATGATATATCATCTCCAATTTACATCAATTAATAAATCAACCAAAAAATTGAGTTCAAGGTTCATTCGGAGGAGCAAAAGGCCTACATTTGGTGCCTGATCATTTGTAACGAGCTGCCTCTCCGTATACGAATATCTCTCGTAACGTTCAAGAATTCTTTCCATACTGTTGACAAAAGAAAGTAACAGTGAGCATTTATAGACTACAATATAGGATGAAACAGTTCTATACTAATCTCTTATAATTTAAAACGTTAATGCATGCGCGAAGTGCTTATATCTGTTGTCTGTTTTATACACTCTAAACCAAAAGCAGCTACAAGTTGCAGGCATATATATAATGGTTTCTCTACAGTGCACTATTGAAAATTAACTATATTTGTTACTTATTCAGAAGAATCGGAACATTCATAAAAAAAAAAAAAATCAATTCTTTGCTATATTTGGAAAAAAAAGTTATAAATATTTTTTAAAAGTAAAGATTATACTTACTACCATTTTAAACTTACTATATTTATTACCTGATTGGTTACTGTTTAGTTAAATTGAAATCAAAGATTGAAAAAAGAGAAAAATTAATTACCGTTGATTTCAAATTGATTCAACGATAATTAGTCAAATAATAAAAATAATAAAACTAAAATAATAATAAATATAACGCCCCTTTTAAAAATGAATAATAAGGGGCGTTTGGTTGAGGGAAAATTTTTATGAATAATAGGGAAATAAGAATAGTTGGGAAATAGTTGGAAAGTGAATTTGGTAAGAAAATGTAAAAAAAGTTGTTTGGTTGAAAAAAATATTATCAGGAAATTAGGTAACATTTATGAAGTCTATGTTTGGCTGTAGGTAAAATATAGATGGGAAAAAACGATGCTATTACGAAAATACCCCTGTTTTAAATTTTTTTTGAAACAAACATCCTACCCTTTACCTTCAAAACAAGAAAAAATCTGTGTCTTCGGAAGGTATAATGGCCGTTTGAGATATTGTCTACACAGTGCCTTTGCCGGTTTTCACAAGAAACCACCTCCAAGAATTCTTTCTGAACAGTGCCAAACACATCATTCCACTTGCATATTCAAAATGCAATGCAATTAGGATTGATAGGGATTTAGACTAAATCTATGGAACCAAACGAGTGCTTTCCGGAATGCTTCCTTCGTATGCATAGGAAAGTTTGAAAAAGAACGCAACCAAACACCACCTAATGGTTTTATAAGAGTTACGTTGTAGGAAAAGTGATTGTGTAATGTTATAGAGATTCGTTTTGCGTGCCGTAATTTTCTTTTCTTTTTTTCAAAAAGTGTGGGCCCCACAAAAAGTTGTGTGTGTAGGAAAGTTTGTTGTGTCATGTTAAATGACAAATAAAAACCCTTAATTTTTTTTTTGAACATTACAAAGAATCGAATCGCACAACTAATATACCTTAAACACACCCAACACACTAGGCTATCCTAGTGGTGCAGCAAACCCCTAACTTTAAATATAACAAATTAAATCCCCGCCAACATGCGAGCAAAACTAACTTGGGAAGTAAAAGGTAAAGTTATGATTAAATTCGCCGTGTGTTATCCCCCAAAAAAAGAAATGGCTATAAGAGGATCATGGCACTGACTACAGACAAAAATAATAAGAGGAGAAAAATAGTCCCAACCTACCATGGCACACAATAGTATTATAGGGTATCCTCGACAGTCATATCAACTTTCGCGGCTTAATTTGATTGGCAGCGCAAACAACAAAAGGAATAGTTTAGGGCCAGCATCAATTTCATTTTCAAAAACAATTTTTTATTTAAAAAAACAAAAAAAAAACTTGTTTTGTAAAAATAAATTATAATTATATTTTGATTTTTAGAATCAAAATTTTTAAAACAAAAAAAATATAGAATATATCTATGTCATTAACAATTCTGCAAAACAAATTTAGGAACAAAAATATAAAACATTAGCACATATTTGAATTGTGTTTCCGAAAATAGTATTTTGATTTTCAAAACAAAAAAAAAAATTGATAACACCTATTTTGTAAAAATAGTTCTCAAAATTATAATTTTTTAATTTTTAGAATAAAATTTAAAGAATATATTTAAATTATTTTTATTTTGTATTTTGACTTTTAATTTAAAAAAATACAAAAAAAATCTATTTAATTAACTATTCTGTAAGATAATTTTAAGAAAAATAAAATAAAATAAAAACAAAATACAATCAAACATGCCATTAATTTCCTGCTTTTAATTAATTTCTATATTGAATTGTCATTAATTACGACGCTTTTCAGTTTTCGGTGTTGAGTCCTTTTTTCTCACAGTTGTGTCTGGCTTGAGTATGATAGATGAAGATGCATCACCTAGACAGAACTCTCCACAATACGAAAAGACACAGGATAACTATACCACAAAATATATGTATGAAGATTACTAAGGTCAAGGTGAAATTCCAATGAGAAATTGAGAATTATGCATTACATCAAACACGTCACTAACTACATAAACAATAAGCATGTGTTATGTGTACATATATAAGTTGTCGATAAAGATTGTTAGGTAGGGGTATATGGTATGGAACATTTATACGTACCAAGGGTCGCTGGAGAACTCGAAAAGCTTGCCTTTGGAGGAGAAGACTATGAGAGCCACTTCAGAATCGCAAAGCACAGAGATCTCGTGAGCTTTCTTGAGCAAACCAGACCTTCTCTTGGAGAACGTCACCTGTCTGTTGATCTTGTTCTCGATCCTCTTCAACTGCACTTTTCCCCTCCCCATATTTCACTATACTCTCTCGCTCTCTCAATTTTAATCAACGCATAAGACTCATGGACATGAATTGAAGATCGATACACTTAATTAATTTCTCTCTATATTTTTTTTTTTTCTTTGAGTTCTTTCTATATAAGTGAGACAGAGGAAAGAGGACTGTGGACTCTGGGGTCAAGGCTTCCATCATATATAGCACAACTCTTTCTTTCTCTTTCATTTTTATTGTAAAAATGGAAAATATTGTTGGTCAGTATTATAAGGTACGAGAGTCTATCTCATCTTAAATGATGTGAAGTTATGTCATTTTAAGAGAAAAAAATAAATAAATAAAAGAGTAAAGAGAGTTGACAAAAAAATAAAAGTGTAAGTTTCACTTCTTCATGAAAGTGAAAGGATATAAGTTGTGTGATTTTAAGAGATAAACACTTTTCTCTTCTAACAATGTACATCCGCGGAAAAATAAAACAAATAAAAGGCAAAAGGACAAACCGCTGATAGTATTCAAAAGGTGGTTTTGGAAAAACCGTTGTGGTTTCGTCAAAAACGTTGTCAAGTTATGATTGGCCACAGAGACTGTCGTTGTTGTCTGGGCTCCACTGTTTCTCGTACGCACTCCACCGGTTCACAGATAATTAAATGTCACAAAAATTTACAAAATACCCTGTACATCATTATGTTTAGTTGCTTAATTTCATGTTTATTTTTTTTATTTCTATTCACACTTTTACATATTTTTTTTTCCACATATTAGATTTAATTTTAACTAATTGTGAAAATTTACATATTTATTTTAAATGAAGAAGTTTTTTTTTTTTCTCTCCAACAAGCTTCGCCCTCTCTCAATGCCAATTGCCCTCCAATGCTAGTATCTTTGTTTAGATTAAAATGAACACGTGTTAATTGCCTTTTAGTTTTTCAATCAATAGAACCTGGAGGGGGCTATGGACCTATGACTTGCTGGGAAGGTGGTGTTTTTGTGTTCCTTGCATGTTTGGCTGTTGAGTTGAGGTTAACCAAATGGAGTACAGAAAGATAAGCACTAATTGGTCACTTTAATCCTGTTAGACAAAACATTATATCTAATTGTCATTCTGTCTAGTAATTTGAATCCGGAGGTCTTCCGTTAAGGGAGTACCAATTATAATCTTGCTATCTTTTCATCCTGTTCCATAAAGCTCATGTGATTATGTGGTGGTGTTCACATAAATTGTTTATCGGGCCAACTCAATAATTTACGGGGAAAAAATTAAAATATTATTAATTTAATAAAAAATTATAAAAATATTATTATTTTGAAGTATTTTACAAATCTATTGTAGTGGGTCTCGCTCAAATTAGGCAAGATCACTCTTACCAAAAAAAGGCGAGACTTGGTTGGCTAAACTGCCTTTTTGGGGCGAGACCAACCCCCTTAAGTTGCCTAATTTGGACGAGATTGGTCCAATTGTTCCCTATTAAATCTTTCAACTCTCCATATTCTTTACAACTCTTTTTCATCACAAACACCCACTCGAAGATATATTATTACTTGATTATTCATACTCTCTTTTGTATTTTTTGTTTATATACTTAAAATGGGTTCACATTCTGATTTTGTTCGTGTTGTTCTATATTATAATGGTAGAAAAGTAGAAGACCGACATATTATAGTTTTTGAAGGCAAGAAAAGGCTAACATTATCAAGTGCAACTCAACTATTGACGAACTGCATCAGAAAATTCGTCAAAAATTAGCTCTCGAAGGTAAGCAATGTATCACTCTAGTCACGACAAGAATATGGTGCGAAAAACAATACATTAATATACAAGTTGTGAATGATGAAGACGTAGATATGATGATAGGAGAATTCTTCAACCAGTCAAGGAAAGATTTCTTAGAGTTGTACGTGGATATTGCCGGAGCAGAGGATGTTGTTTTACCCATGAGGTTCGTTGTTTTCAATTCCCCACATAATGCATCATCATCTGCTGCTCCAGTTGTTAATCAGTCTATGGAAGATGAATGTGACCCTACTTGGGTTATGGATGACGATGATGAAAATATCGCAATGGAAAATCGTCTTCTTACCTAGAATGCTAGTGCTTTGGATAATGATGAGGAACATGGTGTGCCCGCAACTCAAATCGAAGAATATCATGATGTGAGGGAGTCTCATTTCTCGGAACATCATGACATGGGCTCGGATCATTTACCACAACATTTCGAAGGTACATTAGTATACATATATCGTCGGTTTTGTTTATGTAAAAAAATTGAGTTACTAGTATTAATTCGTACATGCAGGTGACACTGTTACTCTTTTTTGGGATGGAATCCCACATTACACGTACATTGATTAAGATCATCCGAGCGAACAAGATTCTTATATCGAGGGTTCGGGTTTAGTTGAGGGTCCATGGCTATTAGGGAATAAGTTATTTGTTAAGCAGGAATTTGCATAAAAAAAGAGGTGCAGATGGCAATTAAACGGAACCTCATGAAAGAGGATCAAGAAGCGATTGTGGTTGAGAGCATGCAGACAAAGTTAAGCATGAAATGTCGTGCACATGACCAGGGTTGCCCATGGAGGGTGAGGGTAATAAAACCAATGTACCGTGAAAAGTGAAAGGTTATTAAATGGGTTGGAAATCATATTTGCTTGAATTCTCAGGATCACAAATAGTTTGTTGTTGAGGTTATTGCTTCACTCGTATTAGGTATGTTATTGGAGAATTTTGTTTAGCATCATAAATTTATTAAGTGTTTTGTTCGTCCCATTGTGTTGGATTCAAAGTCTCATATAGAAAGGCATATGGTATGCAAAGGAAAAAGCAATTGCAATGATATATGGTGATTGAGAGGAGTCTTATGTATTTTTGCTCAGGTGACGTGAATATGTGCTTTGCTTTTCACCAGGTTTTGTTTATCAGCTTCAAACAAATGATTATTTTGCCCATCATGGACTGGTTCCTGAAAAATGTGTATTTCATCGTATTTTTTGAACTTTTAGACAACGTTGTGAGGCTTTCAATTATTGCAAACCAGTACTTCAAATTGATGGGGCTCATTTATATGGCAAGTACCAAGGAAAATTGTTGATTATCATGACTCGGGATGGAAATAATGAATGTTTGTCACTTGCATTTGCCATTGTTGAGAGTGAGACCTTGGAGGCTTGGGAATACTTTCTCACTAACATTCGCTTTCATGTTACGCATATGCAAAATATGTCTCATTTCGAATCAGCACCATAGCATATTATCTACTGTGGAGAATCATTGTGGTTGGCAGCCACCGTATACGTATCACGTGTTTTACCTTCGTCAACAAATATTGAGGACACAGATGTAAATTGGAAAGGATTGTTCGAGATCCCTCTCCCATGTTGATCCCATAGTCAACAAATTTGAGGCTACACATGTAAATTGGTCGTGTTTTACGAATTGGGCAAAGCTAGAACCAACTTTCGATTCGGGTTGTGTGTAGCTATTTTTAAAGCCCAATATTTTATAAACTCGGACCATACTAATTTAGTTGTAAACTATCAATGGCGGACAAATATTTCTCCTATTTCATGTTAAATCATTAAGACCATTTACGTTTTTTCTTTATGACACGTTAGTTAAGGTGGGAAATGATTCTCACCTATGATGATCTAGAGTTCATTGTATTCTTAAACAAATAATCAATCAACTAATTTTGAAGATAACTTTGAGCTCAGTGATATGCATGCGCATTTGTTCATTAAAATGTTCTTTTCTAATCTGAAGAACTTTTGAAGATGTTTCGCTTTGTTGTTTCCCCTCTAACTTCATCTTATTTAGAGCCGGTTTGGTAAAAAAATTTAAGTTAAAAATTATTTTTAAACTAAAATTAAAAAAAAAGAGCTTTAAAAATAAAGCTTATTTGATGATTATATAAATTTTTAACTTAAAATTTATTTAAAAGCTGTTCATTTTTTAAATAAAAATAACACCCATTTCAAAAAAAAGTTAAAAAAATTATTCCTAAAAGTTTTTGATTTTTCACTTTTTTCTGCGTTATAAAAACAAAAATTTATTGTTATCAAAAAAACAAAAAACAAAAATTTATTATAAAAGCTTTTGTAAAAATCTGTTTGGTCTAACTTTTACTTATAAAAAAAGATAAACTAAAAAAGAAACCCCTCCCAAACATGCATTAAGCTGCCTAATTCATGTTCTATTATTACAGAATTGATTCTTTCTTCTTGGCAGCATTCTTTGCATAGCAACCCCAGCAGAGAGAGACATATTCATCCATCTTGTATAGTGATTGCCTTTTACTCTGAGCCCCAGAAACATATGTCATATATCAATATCTCTATAAGGATATTCTTAAATAGACAGAGAGAGTGGATAATAATAAAAAAATTTGGAAAAATGATCAATTTTTTTTGGTTGAAAATTTATGAGTGAAAGAATACAAAAATAAGAATGAAAAAATTTTAAAAGCCTACCCAAACCCCCAACTTTTTATACTTCGAATTTTCAGGATTAAGCACAAGCATATCATATCGGAATGTAGTTTTAGCTGAGATGCGAACAAGATAAAAAAGTTCACTCTCTTTTTGGTGTGATGTGTCGTGATTATAGCCTATAGGCCCTCTTTACCCAAAGGATCTTGATTAGCTACCTAAGACCTATAGTATAATGTTTTTTTTAAAAAAAAAATTGATCTCATTTGAAGATTTTAAGGACATAAAGTTGGATAAATACCGACAACGAAGAATCATTTTGACTAATTGCAGGGAAAAATCAAAAAATGGGATAATGGGAATGAAATTCCATTTGGTAAAATTTACGGTCAGCCCAAAAAAGAGGAACATCACTGCTATGAGCATCATTACTTTTTATCTTCACAAATATTCCCAGGCCCCTATATTTATAAATGGAAGGTAGAAATAGAAAGACAATATTATTTGTTTAAAGAAGCCCAGCATAAATGTGTTACAATTGACAAGGAGTAATTCCCTCTAAGCAAAAAAAAAAAAAAAAAAGATTGAGAGAGTTGAATTATAGTTTTTCCTTTTATCAGCAAGAAAATTTGGAAAAGGCAGATAGATAATTATATGAAAAAAGGTGACTATAGATTTTGAACCTTGTATATATATCATATCAAAGCATACTAATACTTGTGCATAAAAGTTTACAAGTTTCAACTTCAATACAAATATACGAAGTTTTAGGTTCACATACTTTATGACAATACTACTAGCAGTTTTTATTTATCTAAACGTTGATAAATAATGCATAAGAAAACAAAACGATCGAAAACATATACATCTATATATATAATATTAATTAAGGATATGCTCGACACATCCATTACCATATATATTTTATGGCATGTAAATTCAATGTCGTCAAAGCATCCACCCAGAGGCGAATCCATGCATATTTAAGGATGAAGCTCCAACGTCGTTTGCATCATCATGACCACTCAGGTTGAATCTGTAATCAATAAATCATGCACTATGTAGCTAGAGCACCATATAAGGAAAAACACAATAAAGCAAACAAAAGGAGAAAAAATGTGATAAGTTTATGTACAAACAAATCTTGGGTATTTCTATGATTAGAGTGACATTACCCTATTTGGGAGTTGGGATTCACTCCCATAGGCTGAAAAAAACCCTCTGATTGAGGAGGAAAGCGAGTATAATGCATGTTGGGCCCTCCAGCTTCCAAAGCCAGTCTCACTGGAATTTGTGAGTTATTAGTTTCTTCCAACTGTTTCAACAGAGTGTCCATCAATAAGTATAAAATATATTCTAGAATATAAAGTTACCTTCCAGCTAGCTAGCTTACTTCATCCTAATTAAGCTTAGTTTTGTTGATTATTCATTAATTTTTCGCAAATTATATAGATTCCACTAAAGTGATTGTGTGAGTAATAACACTAATCCAAGCTAATGAGAAATGTTTTTAATGGCTGGATAAAAAAATTGGTCATAAGAAAATTAATGCATGAAGCAAATGTAGCATATTATAAGAAGACACAAAAAATTCTCATTTCCCCTGTGCCCTTGCCAGGCTAGCTACAAATCGAGAATGCTTCGTCAAGTTATTGAAGTTTGGTAAGTATATCTATGCATGAGTTCAATTTATAAGCTATTTCTGAAGTTTAAGAGATGGGTTGAGACTCAAAGTGGCTGCAAAATTCAAGTCATCAGATCTGATAATGGAACAGAATACACTTCACAAAGGTTTAACACTTTCTGTGAGGAAGCTGGAATTGAGCATCAACTTACTGTTCCTTATTCTCCACAGCAAAATGGAGTTAGTGAAAGAAAGAATAGAACCATTATGGAAATGACTAGGTGTCTGTTGCATGAGAAGAATCTACCAAAAGAATTTTGGGCAGAAGCAGCAAACACAGCTGTTTTTTTGTTAAATAGACTGTCTACAAGGGTACTGGAAAAGAAGACACCTTTCGAAGCTTGGTTTGGTTTCAAGCCATTTCTAAAAAATTTGAAAGTGTTTGATTGTCTGTGTTTTTCTCACATTCCACAGGTCAAGAGAGACAAGCTGGGAGAAAAAGCTGAACCTGGAATTTTCATTGGCTATAGTCTGGTGTCAAAAGCCTACAAGATCTATCAACCACAGACAAAGAAGGTGATCAATAGCAGGGATGTTTAGTTCCTAGAAGATGAGCAGTGGGACTGGACAGATGAGCCACAAGCAAAGCATAAGGAGGTCTCACTGGATTATGATGAGCTAGTAGATGATGATCCAATTAGAGGTACCAGATCTCTGACTGATATATATCAGAGGTGTAGTGTGGCTGTTTTGGAACCTTCAAGTTATGAGGAAGCTAAAAGTGATCAGAGGTGGATGAATGCTATGAAGGAAGAGTTGGCTATGATAGAAAAAAATCAGACATGGGAGCTAATAGAAAGACCTGAGGACAGGAAAGTGATTGGAGTAAAATGGGTTTTCAGGACCAAACTCAATCCTGATGGCTCGGTGAATAAGCATAAAGCCAGGTTAGTGGTGAAGGGATATGCACAGGTTTGGGGAGTTGATTTCTCAGAAACCTTTGCTCCGGTTGCAAGACTAGATACAATTAGAATGATTCTTGCCTTGGCAGCTCAACAAGGATGGAAAGTGTATCAGTTAGATGTGAAATCTGCTTTTTTGAATGGAGAGTTGCAAGAGGAGATTTATGTTGAGCAGCCAGAAGGCTTTGTCACACCAGATCAGGAGGAGAAGGTTTATTTGCTGAGAAAAGCTCTCTATGGTTTGAAGCAAGCTCCTAGAGCATGGTACAGCAAGATGGATGAGCACTTGCTGGGTTTGGGTTTCATAAAAAGTCTTAGTGAATCCACTTTATATGTCAAGAAGTTAGCATCTGACTTAGTGGTAGTGTCTCTTTACGTGGATGATATGCTGGTAACAGGGAGTAATAATTCTCAGATTACTGCATTCAAAAGGGAAATGATGAAAACGTTTGAAATGACTGATCTTGGTGAGATGTCATATTTTTTGGGGATGGAGGTTAGACAAACTGAAAATGAAATTTTTATCTATCAAAAGAAGTGCTTGAAGGAGATTCTGAAAAGATTCAACATGGAGGAGTGCAAGAGTGTAAGTACTCCAATGGGTCAAAAGGAAAAGTTTCAAAAGAAAGATGAATCAGAATCTGCAGATGAAAGAGTTTATAGGAGTTTAATTGGCTGCCTTATGTATCTCACTGCAACTAGGCCAGACATTATGTTTACCGTAAGTGTCTTGTCTAGGTTTCTTAATTGTCCAAGTGAACTGCATATGGTAGCTGCAAAAAGGGTGTTAAGGTACTTGAAAGGTACTCTTTTATATGGAATCAAATTCTGCAGAATTCAGAAGTTTAAGTTGCAAGGGTATTCTGACAGTGACTGGGCTGGATCAGTGGATGATATGAAAAGTACTTCGGGTTATTGTTTTACATTTGGGTCAGCTTGTTTTTCTTGGTGTTCAAAGAAGCAGGAAATAGTGGCCCAATCAACTGCAGAAGCTGAGTTCATTGCAGCTACTGCAGCTGTAAACCAAGCATTATGGTTGAAGAAGCTGATGGATGACCTGCATTTGGAGCAAAAAGAAGGCATAGAAGTATTTGTGGATAATCAAGCTGCTATAGCTATTTCACAGAATCCAGTATTTCATGGAAGAACAAAGCATTTTAAGATCAAGTATTATTTTTTGAGAGAAGTGCAGAAGGCTGGAGAAGTGAAGCTAATGTACTGCAGTTCAGAAAACCAAATTGCAGATATATTCACCAAGTCATTTCATGTTAGTCGATTTGAATTTCTCAGGGAGAAGCTAGGAGTGTGCAGCACTTGATCCAGGAGGAGAATGTTGGTGTTTCAAGGCTGCTCTTGATGTCCTATTTTTTAGGAGTTAATTAGTTGTTTTTTAAATTGATTAGTCTTTTGTTTAGGAGTTTGTTTACTGCATTTTACTGTTATTGCTTTGTTAGTTTGTTGCTGATTTTGTGGACCAACAAAATCAGCTGGTTAGTAGCAACCGCATGAGCTCAGTTTTGTATTTAAAAACAAGTTCATTAGTCAGAATAAAATAAGTTGTTGCACAATATTGTCTCTGATGTTTGTTTTTCTCATAAAAGATAACAGTTACCTTACTCCTTAACGCATTATTAGTTTCAACAAGCACTGTTTCCTGCATTGAATCAGTAAAAGCCAAGGTTACACAAAAGAATATGACAATTATCGGAGTCTACTAATGAAGAAAAGAACGTGCATATACCCGGTTGTGAAGATCAGCAAGCTGGTCAAGCATGAATTGAGTCTGAAAAAAATTGTAAAATATTAATGAAAATCTATTCAAGAGAAAGAACACTAATCCAAGCTAGCTTGTCAAAATAATAATGTGTGCAAGACCAAATACTTTAGAAGCCAACAGCACCCCTAGACCACGTTTTTCAGTCAAACTGTATAAGTTATTGATAGATAAATATAGGGGTTTGCATTTGTCATTTAACATGACACAATAAATTTGTCTACACACACAACATTTTGTGAGGCCCACATTTTTTGAAGAAAAAAAGAAAATTACGGCACGCAAAACGAATCTCTATAACATTACACAATCACTTTTCCTACAACATAACTCTTATAAAACCCATAAATATAATATAAAATTATTAGTATATCTCATCTAATAGCTTAACATTTTAGATTAATATTGTTTTTTATATGGTATCAAAACCTCTGCGATAAAAATGATTATGACTTCGATCCTTGTTGTCCAATTTTGTTAATAAATAATTAAATATTGTTCGTCTTTCTAACCTGAACTCTTATGTAAAGAGACGTGTTGCAGAAATATAAAATAAAATCATTCGAAATGATTCTTTACACTTATTAAGGGAAAAGCATAAGAGAAACACATACTAATTAAGAACACTGATAGTTGAAATTGAAGTTGACTTCTGTTACCTTTGTTGACCTAATATTCCTCAGTGCTGCCTCTAGTTGATTTTCAAGCTGCTCGAGCTCAGTTGTATTCATTTGAGCAAGATCTTCCCCAAGTAGGTTCCTGCAGCATTTAGAATAATTTACACAAAGTATTTATGAAACTTAACGTTCAACAGAGTCAGGTGCATAGGTAGTAGCGAGGTGCATAATATTCATGGAGTCCTATTTTAAGATAAAACTACCTTTGTGAACGTTGCAGGACTTCTACCTTTGCTTTTAATCTCACATATTCCTGGTAATTCTGCCAAGTAACATATTTGCTATTAAATATCTCGTATGTATTGAAAAGTATTACTTTTCAATGATAATTAAATCACAGATATACATAAAGAATGATAAACCAAGTTAGAAAATAACAGCAACCTTTCCACTAAACAAATTGCTATTACGACACATATTAAGAAATATTTATTGTTCTTCAATAAACCATCTTAATTATTCTAAAAAAGAAAATAAAAAATATTTTTATCTCATAATTTCTATTTAAATTCCTTAACATATGTCTTTAAGATTGAAGTTAACCAAATTCATTTAAAGATTAGCATTGGATGAAAATAATTTGTTAACATGCATGCTTTCAAGACGGTATTTTTAATAGAAAAAATATTGCACGGGTGGAAAATCTCACAAAACACACAAACAAAAACTAGGATTTTGATGGTGAGTATTAGAAATGGAGGAAAAAACAATAGTTATAACGAGAGCTTATAAAGCTATGAATATAACCTTATTTGTTTAAGTAGCAAAATTATTGCTGTTAATAACTAAAGACTTACCTGAGCGTCATTTATTGGTCGGCTGGTCTCTAGTGCATTGTAACTGTACTTCTGGTACTTCTCCAGTGTTTTCATCATGCTGTGACATGAGGAAAAAACTCAATCAAAATATGGGGTAATTGATTTGTAAATGATTGTAGTGGTCCTAAAAAAAGGCTACAATATGTAGTAAGCATGATTATGATCAGCATGACACCATAACTGCAAAAAACCATGCATAAAATCCTCCAAAAGCTCTCACACAACATGTGTATATATCATTTTAGTATGATCCGTTGACCCTCATTACTTAGATATATGACAAATTTGGTGTGTGTAGATATAACCTTGTGGCCTCCCTCATAATGTCTAGCTTTTCTAGGGAAGAGCTATATATTATGAGGTTCTTATCTAGTAATAGAACAAAAAAGAATTTTCTTTCTCTTTTCCTTAACTTTCTAAAAAACGTAAACTATACTACGCATTAATTGCTCAAAAGGAAGCATCACAAGCCACAATATGTCATGAGTACCAATGATTGAATATTGCCAATAGATCAATGGCACAAATATATACAAAGAACAGGTGAACTAAATGGTTGTGACTCTCTAGTATTGCAATATCCCACTGTCTAATATTCACTTTAATTAGATTCATCTAGAAGAATCACTATTTGAAAGGAAAATTGTAGTGTCTCTTTTAGGAGCTAAATCTTCATTATTTCCTACTCTTGCATTACTTAGATGATCAATATAACTTCTTGATATACTTTAATTAACTAAAATTGCTCATATTTTGTTTTACTTTAAAGATTTCATTGATTTGATTCTGGTACTGTCCTATAGGATTTTCCTTTTTAAAAATAAAATAAAAATAATACTAATAATAATGACATTGACTGGAAGACAAGGTTTCATATGTTAGCTGACATTTGTTTTTTTGTTAAGTTTATCAAATGGTTTGCTTGATTTGTACGTGTGTTTAGTTAAATAGGGACTATTAATGATTACATCATAAACTTATTACGTTATATACTGCTTCAGTCTTTTTCATTTTCTATTTTATACTGGAGAATATACAATATACAATCTCTACTAGCCATCAAATATACTCAATTGCTAATTTTCAAATTATTCAATATGAAGGTACACAATGAATTTTTGTTTTATCTATTTTTAATTAGGTTAGGATAATCTATCCTTTCATTCAATCATATGTCATTACATTATTAAAGAGTTTGTTTTTTCAAACATTTGGTATTAATTATAAGTAAGTTCTAATATGATAATGCATAATTTGATCCTAAAACAAAATATTTATCAACTGAAAAGAAAATAGTTAGAGAAATACAAGGCCTTTACTAACTTAAGCTTTTGGGTTAGATTTATTTTTTACATGATATCAGGAGCATAAGTAAGTTGGGCCTGATGTATTATCCACTCTTCAAGCCCAATAAACTCTAGTGTAAAGGGGCGCATTAGAAAAATACAAAACTATTAATTGGCCTTCACCTAACAGCTTGACCTTCACCAACAACTTAAACTTTTGAATTGAATTGTTTTTTTATAAAAATTAAATTGCAGCAAAAGTATATTATTGTATTTAAGGTCAATTTATAGCAATATATATTTGCCCATGAAAATGTGATCGCAGGACTTTCTGCATAAAGTTTACTGCAATTCTTGCTTGGAAGAGAGGAAAAAGAAAAACCTCTTCCCAAATAAATTTAATGCAAAATTTATTTCTGCCAGGACTTATTAAAACAGGCAAATAGTTAATTAAAAATATTTTTAATTATTAGTTAGCGATTTTTTGGCCCTCTATAAGACTGTAGGTAACGGTCTCCACTATCACCAATTAATCTATCTGAGTTAACGTTTTTGAGAGATCATAAACAATAATTATTATAAAAACAGTGAGGCATCTAAATAGAACACTACAACTGCATTCACGTTACTCTTAATATATCAAGAAGTAAGGTTAATAAAGCGTAAGACAAGACTTTCTAACAACCAAGCAAAAATTGTAATGTAATACGAGCACCAAACCCTTTCCAGTGTAAGAGAGATTTCCATTAAAAGAAAAGAAAAAGAAAGTTGGATGTACAAAATCATTTGTTCAAGAAAAGAAGAAAACAGATTAATGGATAAGCCAAAGGGACTTTAAGGTCAAGACCGTACGTTATTAATAAAAGTAGGAACTTTTGTTTGATTACTATTTACTAGTTATTTTCCCAAATTAATATCCTATTCTTGCGTTCAAATGATATTAAGCTATTAACCATTATAAATAATTGTTCTCTATAATTGTCCCTGCAAATAGTAAGAACAATGTTTTGTTTTTTAGTCATTTGTTGTAGATCAAACCAGCTATTCCACAACGGTTTTAAGGATAGGCGTTAATTTGCAGCCTTACAAGTTAAAGGACACCCTTTTTTCTCTTTCTCTCAGCGATCCTTAAATTGCAAGGCGAAGTAAAACAGGTTTGCACATCAAACATCCCATCTCTGACACCAAATCATAACAGTAAATACTGGCCTGAACTGTTAATGGTCTATCTCTAATCAGATATAGGCCAATTTTTTTTAAAAGAATAAAAAAAAAAAATTCAGATAGTGATTAGGGCTAGTTCATGGTTTTATCTTCATGAACAGAAACGACCCCAAGTTAAGCAAATTTAATAAAATTTGGCAAAATCTTGAGAGGACTGATAGGAAGCAAATCCACACTCGCTCATATAATTTATTTTTTGTTAAATAAATTTTTAACAAAAAATTTATTTATTTTGTTCTGGAAATGATCTTGCCCTAGTTCAGGAGGGTATGACCCAATTAACATCTTGAAATAGACGCAGAAAAGCTTTTCCAAAACAATTTCTGAATGATGGAAAAAAGAAAAATTTCCCTCTTTGACACAGGTGCTTCCTCATATAGAGGGGTAAAAATATGGAGTTTCAGATCTTCACACATGATGGGTAGAAATTAAATGATACAGTTTCATTTGTTTGTATTTATAACTCTGGACAACAAACAGAGTGGAAAGCTTGGAACTTTACACTTCCCACAAGTCTGGGAAATGATGAAAAGATGAAATAATGGACTTTATTTTGGAGGGGCTTGGTTATGTAAGCTACTGAAAACTCATATGTAGGTAAGAAGTACTTTGTATGTATCAATCAGCAGATAGTTAGGTTGAGGAGAAGAAACACTGAAGTAGCACAGATCTTTCAAAAAAAAAATGTCATTGCCTATATGTGTGCACTTATGCACGCATACAAACACGGGACAAAATGAAGAAGATACAAAAAAAGAGGTGATAAAGGAGAGGTTCATGAATACCTGGAGGTACTGCTGAACTCATAGAGTTTGCCACGGCTGGAGAAGATGATGAGGGCAACCTCAGCATCACAAAGGACTGAGAGCTCATAAGCCTTCTTGAGCAAACCATTTCTTCTCTTGGCAAATGTGACCTGCCTGTTAATTTTGTTCTCTATTCTCTTCAGCTCAACCTTCCCCCTTCCCATCTTTTTGTTTCTTTCTCTGTCTTAAAAGCACACACACACACACACTCTCTCTCTCTGGAACTCTCTTAATTTCCTGTATTGGTTAAGAGATGAAAATGCTTTCTTAAATGGCCTATTTGCTTAGGGTACCAAAAGGGATAAAACAATAGTGCAAGAGAAGAAATAAAAGTGGAAACCCTGAAAAAAAAGGTTGCCTTATGTTTGGTTTTCATCTCTGTACTGTAAGCCACAAAAAAATATGTTTAACCTGCTAAAAACATTTTGTTGTTTGCATACTAATTTGACATGCATATTTTCCAATATATTGTGTGTACCTTATCTTAGTACCCTCAAAAAGTTGAACTTAATCCTTCTTTGTCAAGTGTTATATACCACACAGACTAACTATAGGGTCGCCTATGTATGCTAAAAAAAAATATCTAGGTCCTAAGATCCCTAACTTTCCACAATTCCACTGCATCATCATCATCCTCCATCACATTGGCCACACCTGGAACTAAGCCAACTATAATCTAACTGCTTCACATATTAACTATTTCATTGAACTTAGGTTACGCTTGAATAGGAAATGTGGAGTTATTACTGGATTGTGTCTACTTTCGTCAGCACCAACTTTAATATTGGCAGACATTCGGCCACGTGTCAGGTTCAAGAAAAGCATTCTTTTTTTTTTTTTTCCGATCATAGGTCATTCTTAGACAAAGGAAGGACATACAAAAGTTTGGAACACGGAAGCTTTATTGAATTAATTTGTTGCATTAAGTCATTCTCAACGGTTAAAGAATTAAATGTTGTAGGGAAATCAAGTGAATTGTGCAACACACCTCAACTTAAATATTTAGTATGCACTAGCCGCCATCATCAAGTATTGTTGAGGAGCTGCCATAGTAACTCCAATTAAAGAAGATTATTATCCACTTATCAAATGGACCTTATAAGTGACAAACCCACAAAGGTCCAACATCATTTCTTAATCTAAAATCACATTTATGAATTTTTTTGCTTTTACATATTAGGCTTAGCTCATTCTTTTTCAACGCGGGACTCTATTACTCACACTTAAATTATCAACAAATGTCACATAAAAATGTTTTGTTATGAATGTATATATGTTGGGGTAACTTGTGGTGGTAAATCTACGTGCGTAAACCATTTTAAAGCTAAAACTACTAATTATGAATTCAAAAGTAAAAACAATCGTGCATATGGATTTGTTTTTAATGTTGTTAACATGATAAAAGGTAACTCGCTTCCTTCTTAAAAGCTTTCTTCCTTCTTTATGGGTCAAAACAGAATTCAATTCCGAGTTCTTGACGATAAATCTTATAATTTGAGTTAATTAGGCATAATTTCATATCTAATTTGGGTGATTATTTCCTTATACTATGATAAATGAAGTGCTTTAATACTCAAATTCACCAATATGCTTGTTAAAAATTATGCAATTTAATTGCTATAATTGATGTTTACCAAAAAAAAATTGTTATAATTGATACTAATTAATTGGTTGTTACTATCTATTTTTATAGGAAATTAACCAAGATTTTTGGAAAGAGTTTGGAAAGTAGCACCGCATCAAAACTAGAGGAGTAAAAAGTAAGAACAAACAAGTGAGCATCTAATTCAGCGACATAGCATCGCATGCTATGGCATGATATCAGAATTTTATTTTTATTTTTTGATGGCGTAACATTGCATCCAGGGCGCAAGGCTTAAGTGGCCAATTGCAGCCTATTTAATTAGGATTAGTTTTTGGTATATTTTTAATCGATCTATACATACACTTTTGGTTATGTTAAAGTTTCGCTAGTATACCACACACACACAAAAAAAAAGTTTCGCTAACAAAATCATAGTCAGAAATATTTATTATTTAGGATTTCACATTTCCCCAATTGAAATATGGATTTGAACAGGGATCCTAATCTTTACACCCCGTACATCTCATAATTATTCCGTCGAAAACTTGGTATCGAATTTTTACGGATGTAAGTATATCCGTGTGAATGTATTTTGACAAAAATTTTGTTCCATCAAAAATCACTAATATAATGGTGCATCTGTTTGGCATCCCTTATGGAAGGGTGGGATTGAGGGTGGCACATGCATTTAATTATTATGCCGATAATGTATGTTGATTGTGCACATAGTCTAAATCAATTCTACCTTTAACTGCATAATAACTCTAAAAAACTGTTACCACCCGCAGTCTTTACATTTCCTCCACATGTGATGCCAAATGATCAAAGAACCTTACAAACACACATGACATCACAAACAACCATACAAAACATATAAATACTATTGAAAACATAACAAATTTGTTTCTGCCTGTTCATAGCATGGTGTTAGCAATTGTTATGTTCATATAAATACTATTGAAAACATGTTCGTACTACGTACCATCTTGCATATATACCACCACGCAACAAAATTACAAAGACCACCATACAACAATAACACCTAAAAAAGAGTGTGAACATGTACTACGTCGATAAGTATTAAGAGTTTAATGTTTCTCTCTGATCAATGGAGATAACTTACCTCTTGTAATTCTAAAACGACGTATTTCAATTGCAATTAGGAGAAATGTATTTTTGTAATTCTAATTTATTTTGGGACTATGTTGGTCTTCCATCTTTATCATTATAATTTTTTTAATCACCCCTAAAATGATCTCATTTTTTTTTGGATATTAAAAATGATCTCATTTTGATATTATAAGAAATAATTTATGGGAAATGTGTTTCTTATGTTACATAAGACAATTTGTCTCATTCAACACACAAAAAAGTGGATGAGACCCACTTTTTTTCTTTATCTCTCTTCTTAAAGTGGGTCCTATTCACTTTTTTTTGTGTTGCATGAGACAAATTGTCTCATGTAACCTGAGAAAAATCAAACCCATAATTTATCTCGAGAAACATTAAACCTAAACATTAATACATTAACAAACAATATAATATAACATTCATGGGGTAACAAAGTAGTGCATAAGATGACAATAGACATCATGTTGTACGAACATACATAACCAACAATTAATTACTTGAGGTTAGATAATAGGGGCATGTTATATTTACAAACTTTTTTATTTACAAATTCTTACAAATTACACTATGTTCTCCCGGGAGAACACTCGTTTTACTATGTTCTCCCGGGAAAACATAGTGTAATTTGTAAAAAAAATTCATAAAAGTTTGTAAACGGATCAATTCCCCTAAATAATAAGGGTATATTTGATGCATATTGAGGGACAATACAAACAACATAACATAAATGGTTGAGTTCCATGATAATTCTTTATTTTGTTAACTGTTTGACAACCAATGTACATGATGATAAATTTGTGTTATTCTTTATTTGATACGCATGAGTATGGAATATAATAACATAATTTTTAGTTAATATCCCTTGTGTTTGATATGAGTGCGATAGAGCTGGAAAAAAAGTTTGAAGGAACAAGGATTATGGGCATGTTTGAATTCTATTTTTAAAAATATTTTTTTAATTTTCACAATAAATAAAAAATATGTTTGATAATGTCTATTTTGTAAAAATAATTCTAAAAATTATATCTGTAATTTAGTTTTTAAAATCAAATTAGAGAACATATTTTAGTTGCTTCTGTTTTATATTTTAATTTTTAACTTTAAAAAAAGGTTTAATGTTTCTCCACTTGTCATTGAAGATAATTTATCTCCAATAATACCAAAATGATGTCGTTTTGAAATAATTAGAGATAACTTTATCTCAAGTGATCGGAAAAATATTAAATAAAAAATACAGAAAATACTCATTTTATTGACTACTTTACAAAATAATTTTAAGAATAAAAAAAGCAAAAGAAAATTAAACAAACCCTATATTGCTCTTATACTTCGTGTTGTGAGTACAATTTTTCATTTGGTTTAATAAATAACAAAAATTCAAAGTTTTATGTTATAGCTATTTTCGTCTTGTACTTAAACTATTTAATTTTTAAAATTAAGTAAAGGATTCATTTTTCTTTCTATATTGTCTTTTTGTTTAATAAATCAAACCAGCTCTAAAGAATAATCTTGCAAATTTCACAGTTTCAAGATGGCTTGCTTTTGACCAGAATAGAAAAGTAAATTAATGTGAGAGAGAACTAGCTCAAACAGTACCTTAACAGCAAGAAAAAGAAAATGTAAAGTTACTCAATTAGGTGGTGAGCTGGGAACACACAGGTTGATAATTAATTTCTAACTTCATATAGCAGAAACAAAATATTTATTTACTGAAGCAAAAGGGCATATGCATTATTATCTCTAAACTTCATCGCAGTAAAAGTATTTTATCATTGTTAATTAGGTTAGGTACACCTGATGAAACCTTTCCATGTTAGATCTTGTTTGGGAGCGATTATCAGATTTTACCTCTTTGGTACGACATATATAATTTCACATAAACCGTTATTAATTAAAGTTGATGGTCTTATCCGACCTTACAAACTAACCAAAAATTTTAATTACCAAAAAAAATAATTTACCATTAACCGCAATAATAATATGTTTGATAATTTTTGTTGGAAAACGACAATCACACAAAATTGAGAAAACAGAAAAAGAGATAATAGTAGAGAGATTGACACGATAATTTATCCTGGTTCACCCAATTAAGACTGCGTCTAGCTTATCTGTACTATATTCTCCTCACCGCCACTCGTTACAAGTCACTCAATTTACAAGCAAAATATAAATAGGATTAGAGAACCCTAACAGTAGTTATTCATAGACTCAAGCCCAAACTGCTAAGAAAATTACAATAAAACATAGCCTCTACAAACCTGAGAGCGCTGCCCCAAGACACTCGCCCGTTCAACTGAGAACAGGACCTCAATTAACTTTGTGATGACCGCGAGTATCAGATATACTCAATAATTTTGACTAATGCTTCGTATGGGTTCTCATAGTTAGACCATAGATCTTGGAAAAAGCCAAAGCATAATGTTTAATAGAAGGCATCTTAAAAGTTAAAACTGTCACCGCAGTAGTCACAATGAGATGCGACGTGTCAA